TTTAAATGCGTTTTTCTTAAAACTACATTTTTAAAGTCGGTGAGCAAAATATCTCAAAAACTGATGAATCGATCTTTCTAAAATTTTTTTACTTATTTTGGACACGAATATCTTGTGTTTAATCGAAGGATTTATGTTTTAAATGCGTAGTTCTTTTTATTAACAAAAAAAGAACAATTAAATTTCGCTCGATATAGACCGTTTTTTCTTTATAAAAAAACAATTTTTTAGGTAAAAATCGAAAACTCTTTTTTAATGAGCCGCTATTTTATTTCTAATCAATATTTTCCAAAACCGAACGATTAAACACTAGCTATTGTCATATACTAATAATTTTTTTGGATATCTAATTTCAGATGAGTTTCTGCCAACTTGCTGCTCACCGCAAAATCACTCTTTTTAAACATGTCTCTGTACATCAGCCATAGATTCACAATTATTGAATATTTTTGTACGATAAAATTTTGAAATGTACTTTAAATATAACTCTTTATTGGATATATAAACTTAAACATATGTATATGGTTTCAAAAATAATATAAGTTATAAGGCTCTATAAGTATAAAACAATAAATAACAAATGAAGGACTCAGTGCCAAATATTTGACTCTGAGCCCTTCATTTGTCATTTATATGGTTTCATTTTATTTAAAAAAAAATCCTTAAAAAATCGCTTTTTTCACCCCTCTAAACGTATATAACCCCTTAAGCTTTGATGAACAAAAAGAGGAACGGTTATATATGATGAATAAAATTTTAAAATTTAAATAACTCAAAATTTTAATTATGAAAAAAGTATGCCTATATTTACTAATATCCATTTTTACGAAGATTAGCTTTAATCTTGATTTAAGTTTACTATGGGCGGTTAATATAACCATTAAATTTAAAATCAACAAGTATGTATTGCTGACTTAAACTCTGTATGTTCGTTATTAGATATATCAGAAGTCTCCATTTCATCTGTATCCGTACGCGAATAATTATGCTCCAGTAATGTTCTATTTACACCAATATTATGCTCAATATTAGAACAAATCTTAAGATTAATATTAATCTTTTCAACATTGATTATCTTGGGTCGTGCCCTAACAATTACAGACTGTTTGTTCGGAATGCTTCTGCTTTCTTTGGAGTTAATGTCTTTTAATTCAAGTGAGTTAAATAGTTCATTAGGGTCAAATAATTCATTAGAAATAGTAGATTCTTTCGTTGAAGCAATTAATTCACATTTAGACAATACTTCCATTTTGTCTTCCATTGTAGGACATGATGAATATTCAGCACTCGTTGCCTCTGTCATCTCTTTGAAACGTTTTTTTGGGGGAGTTATAGGTGGTGTATAAAACTCACATTCCAACACAGACATATCCTCTTTAACAAGACTTGGTTCTTCCTCATAGATCGAGAAAGCTGATCTAGGAAAGAATGTCAATTCTTCGTAACCAATCGGCCAGCTACACTAAAATATAAAACAGAATTATTAGCATAAATGTAAAGTCTAATCTATAATTATGCATTTTGCTTTCTGTTTCTTGCTTTTTACTTCTTACCCTGTTTCTTTGTTTCTTGTTGCGTGAATAAAATTTGATGAACATTGAAGAGATGAGAAACATGATAAAACGATCGCAAAGAGGAAAAATAGTAAGATATAAAAAGCAAGAAATAAGAAGCAATAAGCACAAGTAGGTTAGTGGTATTTTCCAGCAAAAGACACAATAGTTGCTTTTCATTTACACATTTCTCAGATAATTCTCACTTGTGACGTCATAACTTAAGTTGAATGCGATGAATTTCAACTGAGGTCTTTACCTACAAACTGCATGATCAAAGATCATATATTTTACTGAGCCTCATACTCACTTTAAAATTTAGGTTATAAACCTATGTTGTTATTTGTTAATTTTACCAAAGTAAACAAGTAGTGACGTCTGAGTATTTCATACTCGGCTCACTTCAGATTCAGACTCAGTTTCACTTGTGTGTAAATGGGAAGCAACTGATAGAGCGCAACGATTTCATCTTTGCTTAACGTCGATAAACAATAAAAATAACACGGATGTAATAATTTATTTTGATACATTATGTCATTTGTGTTTCTTAATGAAAAACAATCTAGATTTCGAGAAAATACACAGAAAAGGAACGAGAAGAATTTGTTTACTTCAACCGACTCGCAGGACCACACCGCTTCTTCCAGACTAATCTGAAATGCCTTGAGTCTTCTCTCAACACCATTCTTTTCACATATTGGACAAAGTTTTTCCATTTTGTGATAATTGAAACAATTAATTTACTTCAAAATAAAGCAAGCACTCGATGGGGCACATAATATTCATACAATTTCACGCATATGAACTCTGTATCACTTCGCGTAAAATAAGACAAATGTACGTTTAACCGACCTGCACGTATCGGATATTTTATATATTAAGCGTTATGACGCTCAATTACATGCAGTTTTTGTCAACACATGTCTTTGAGATACTGAACGTAAACAACTTACGAATTGCCGGCATTTTTAATGAAAACGAAAATACAAGAAAAAAAATTCATTTTAACCATGATACAAGTGATTCTACGTAAGTCGTAAGAGTTAAGATATGAAACCGGAAAAACGCCATATTTCAATCCTGCCGGAAATGAGCAAAATTCGCCCGCGTAGTTTTCAAATTGTGGGAATAAATTGTTATAACTAATTAAATAGTTTTTAAAATGTTTTCACACACAGAATAAAAATGTGACATGAATATAACATAATTTTTTATTACTTCAACGTAGTATAACGCAACATTATATAGTAATTAACATGTTTTATCAAAATCGAAATAACAAAATTACAAAAATAAATATGTGATTCTTAATTATGTTAATATGTATATAGTAACCACAGTAATAATTACTTCATAAACAAAATAACGTTATTAATTTCAGATTTATAGTATTCTTTATTGATATAAGAACTGGTGCGCATTATGGCCCTGCAGTTTATATCGTGCACTTGATACGCATATTAACTTAATAATTTTTTATTAAATTATTTTAATTTTAGCGATGAGTGAAAACATGTACATGATAATGTTTATTGGATTAATTATCTTGATGCGTATATTTTTACTGAAGTACATCATTCTTTAAATGCGTTGCCAAAATTAAGATAATTTAATTGACTTGTAATATACATATCAAGTATGCGATATAAAATGTAGGCCAGTGCACTTTAAAGCCATTATACACAAAACGTAAAGATGTATGTACGTTTAATAAAAATAAACGAAATGAGTAGTTAAACCGCAAAATTCTCAACACATTTTATAGTGCTATTTGATAAAATATATATCATTGGGCATTTTATCAATTAGTGAGATATCTCATTTTTACATTTAGATTTTATTAATGTTGGTATACGGATAGTATGAAATTACTATAATTTATTATTGTTACTATCGTTATTAAGTTATTATTTATTAAGATAGAATTAGAATACACATGAATAAATCAAATAAGTAATAAAACAATATTATTTATTGATTTATTATTCCATACATTCGTACAGCATCTTTTGTACAAATCCTGTAAAACGATAATTAACGTAATGATGTCGTTACCGTCTATCAAACCGATGTTCGTAAAAAATGGTACTATCTTCAAAAATATAAGAATACCCCTACCTATATAAACAATGATTTCACCTATTCACTTACATTCACTAATCAGTCACGAAGAAGACCGCTTATGTTTCCACTCTTACTATAGTCACTATAACTTTAACGAGAATTAAAACTCGAAAGATAATTCGAGTCGTTAATAATTTTTCTTTGTTTTCTTTTAGTACAGTAAAATATTTTTTTTGTTTAAAATATTTTATTTATAAATTTGTATGTTTTATTCATATTTTTTTTAGTCTTAAATATTAATAACTTTTATTTAAAAAATTCATGTATATCTATTAAATTCCATGAATTGCGGATGATTTTTTAAAACGCAATAGTCATTCTTTTTTCCGTTTTAAGTTGATGAAAGAATTTAAGAAAATTTTATTATTTTGAATTGTACACATTTTTTCAATTAATCCAATTAAGTTTGAAATTTAAATATCTAGTTTTTTAATTAACGATCATTTCGTAGTTATTTTATTCAATTCGTCGGATGTGCCTTCTGTAATAAAAAAGGAATTATTGCGATCAAAATAAAATAAAAAATCAGTAGCATTCTGCTGATTTTTTATTTTATTTTGTTTATATGTATATATATTAACAATTAAATACTCTAAAGTAAATAATTAATAAGTAATAAACACAAAAATAGCTACAGGTCAATCACAACATAGGTATATTTGGCGAACTTGCGAATTTGATCTGACCCCAGAGAAATAGTATCTCATATAAAAAAAATGTTATATATAATTTTTCTTATTTATTTTTTACTATAAACAATGCTATATCGTGAATTTATACACTCCTTCGTGTGTATATACATATATTCGCATCAAATACTTCACTATAAACAAATAACTGCAATATCTCGTGAAAATATTCTGTATGTATAACTTTATTTGTCTATTTACTTTTGTGATAAGATAAGCTACTTAAACTGATTTGAAATACTAATTTGAGTTAAATTAGTTTAATTGAAATACGCAAAAATTATATTTAAAAAATTTAATATGTAATATGCAATATATGACACAGTTACGTGCATTTACACGACAACAACCTTTTGTATAAGTGTTTGGACTTCTCGATTCCCGGAAGTGACTTCGAAGTGACTTTCTTCGAACTTTCTCGCTTCTAGCAGCATCTTAGGTTTCGTACACCGAGAACAGTTTTCTGTCATCCGTCGTGAGATTCAGATGTACCGTGTGTCTCCCGATATAATCCGATAACGATACAGTTATACGAAAATAATAAATTTAAAAAAAGTCGTTACATTATAAATTATTACATAACTATTAAGCGCGATTAAATAAGTATACAGAAACAAAAAGTGTTTTCAGAAAAATGGGTATCTTCGAACGACGGATTCTGGAGATTTCGAATTCTCCGAAAGAAGTGAGATATAATAAAATTTATGCATATATATATATATATATATATCGAAAAAAATATCCACGAAGTGGTGAAGTTGATGAAAACGTTAATAGAAAATATATTACTTATCGCAGGCGCAGGCGATAGCGACCAACGTGTTGTCTCAAGTGCATCATGTATCCAGAACGAAACGGGGACAAGCGATCGGTTCCGTTCGAGGATTTCGTGGATGCACAATTTGGATGACGGGACTTTCAGGTGCCGGAAAGACTTCTATCTCTTTTCAACTTGAGGAATATCTCGTTTCTCAGGTACCGCGTTATTACAGCGTATAATCGCTTATATATATATATAACTTGTTGCTCCACTTTCACGGTATTTTATTCGACATTCCTGGAGCAGGGAATTCCCGCGTACAGCTTGGATGGTGACAACTTGCGCACAGGTCTGAATCGTAATCTTGGCTTCAGCAAAGAAGATCGCGAGGAGAACGTGCGTCGCGTTGCTGAGGTCGCGAGACTTTTCGCAGACGCCGGCATCATTGCCCTCTGCAGCTTCGTCTCGCCGTTCGCGGCAGACCGAAAAATGGCACGAGAAATTCACGAGAACGCCAATCTGCCCTTCTTCGAGATATTCATCGACGCATCCCTTCAGATCTGCGAGGCCCGTGACGTCAAAGGCCTCTATAAGAAAGCACGTCAGGGTATCATTAAGGGTTTCACCGGTATCGATCAAAATTATGATGTACCTATCGAACCTGATCTCACTGTCGACACAGAGAACACGACTGTTCAACAATCCACTGATATCGTTATCAATTTTCTTCAACGCAAACAAATCATACCAAAGATATGCGAACTTGAGCCCTTTCTAGAATTATTCGTAAAAGAGGATAGATTGAATGATGTCCAGAAGGAAATAAAGGCTCTTCCAATTTTGGAAATCAGAAAATTAGATGTGCAATGGTTACAAGTTCTCGCTGAAGGATGGGCAGCGCCTTTGAAAGGATTTATGAGGGAAAACGAATATCTTCAAGTAAGTTTCAGTTCATTTTTAATCCGCTGTATTAAACGTATAAAAGCATTGTTATTTTTAATAGGTGCTGCATTTTAACTGCTTGTACGAGAACGACGTTTCGATCAACCAATCGATACCTATTGTTCTCGCTGTGAGCACCTCTGATAAAGAACGCTGTTTCGATGCGACCGCGCTCGTACTTAGATATCAGGACAAGGACATCGCCGTCTTACGCAATCCGGAATTTTATCTCCACCGCAAAGAAGAACGTTGCTGCCGTCAATTCGGCACAAATGATCCCAGGCATCCTTATGTTAAATTAATCCGAGACTCTGGCGACTGGTTGGTCGGCGGGGATTTGGAAGTGCTCGAAAGAATTAAATGGAATGACGGGCTGGATCATTACAGACTGACGCCTAACGAGATCAGAACTAAATGCAGGGAAATTGGCGCCGATGCGGTTTTTGCTTTTCAACTGCGAAATCCTGTTCACAACGGACACGCGTTACTTATGCAGGTTGATATTTATTTCACGAAATAACAAAGTATTTGCAAACAGCAATACTCGTTCGTTATTTCTACATCTCGTTGTATCAGGATACTAGACGACGTCTCGAAGAATATAGCTTCAAAAAACCAGTTCTTCTCCTTCATCCTTTAGGCGGATGGACTAAAGACGACGATGTTCCTCTACCTGTTAGGATACAACAACATCAGGCTATCCTCGAAGAAAATGTCTTACATAAGGATACTATTCTCGCTATTTTTCCTAGCCCTATGTGTTACGCCGGTCCCTCAGAAGTCAGTATATTTTTTCCTAACGTTTTGAACAATATATAATGCGCAATACCTGAAATATGTAAAAATCATTAATGATCAATTGAAAAAAATGTTCAGCCACTTATCGTGATTTACATTATTTAGGTGCAATGGCATGCCAAAGCTCGCATGATCGCAGGAGCAAATTTTTACATTGTCGGACGTGATCCCGCTGGCATTCCTCATCCTGATAAATCCGTCACACCAGACGGCAATCTTTACGATGCCACTCATGGTGCACGTGTCCTTTCAATGGCACCAGGTTTACAAAGTCTCGAAATTATTCCTTTTAAAGTAGCTGCTTACGATACTAAAACGAAGAAAATGTCTTTCTTCGAAGCTGAACGGCAACAAGACTTCGTTTTTATTTCTGGCACCAAAATGCGCAGTAAATTTTTATTCTATATATTATAATTTTTTTATTTATAATTTAAATAATTTTATATTATTGTATATTTGTGGCTTATTTTTACAAGATTTATAAAGATATTTTTATTTTTTGTATTTCTTTTTACATTAGATTTGGCAAAAAATGGTGAAGATCCTCCCGAAGGTTTTATGGCACCAAAAGCATGGAGAATTATCGCAAAATATTATCAAACTACACACACATACAGTCAAGAAACGAATAAATAAATAGTATTTATGTTTGGTATAACTTATTATGTTGATATTATATGATGTTGTGTATTATATAATAATGTTAATATTGTATAAAATATTGAATTAATATATAATGGGCAGATAATAAAATAAAATACAGGTAAACTATTTAATACAAAAGTAATGGAACAAATCTTACATTTTGTTCTAGTCTATTACCTCTGGTATATCTTTATTTATTGCATCGAATGACACGGAAGGACATTTTGTAACTTAAATATATTCGACAATCAACCGAAGGTTGTCGATAGAAAATATTTTGCCATTTAATCCGGTATATCTGCAATACAATATCTTACTATATATACATATTCTTTTCCTTATCTTTATACGTCTTATCATAAAAAGTAAATCTTTGCTCAAACAAATTATGTATAAATAAAAGATATCGTATTTACCTTCTTCTTCTTCAGAGTCGGATATTCGGGTAGCTTGAAGTGAACTTTGTTTCGTTAATGTCCGGACTAGGCCACGTGGTCTTGGCGGTGGTGACTGTTTGTTCCAAAGTGCCTCTAGTTGATCAAAATGTTGAGATTGTGCTAAAGCGGCCTGTTCAGGACCTAGGCCAGATTGAGAACCGGCTAAACCAGCTTGGCTGATCTCTTCCATTGATGCGCTCACACTAAAACGACGTTTCAATCGTTCCTCGATACTTGAAACTATGATACCTACGAAAATAAATGCAAAGCATATCAAGTTAAATCCTTATTTTTTCATAAATATGCTTAAGGAGAATTGATAACAATCTCCGAACGATATTAGAAATATATAAAAGTAATAACCTGATGTAAGATGCCCATACTTTCGCTGCCAGGTGTAAGTGTCTAAAGACACCTCTTTCTTCAGCAACCTTTTGGCTGGTCGTTTCGGTCCTGGTGGTCTCAAATCCCGCGGGGCCACGTACGGTGGCAATTTGACGTATTGCGCTGGAGTATTATGCAGACATAAAATAGGCATGCATTTATGCTCCAATAAATGTACTGCCATTCTGGAGCAATCGGTAGACATTTCGACTCCTAAAACCGGTACGTGTAGCATAATGGAACTGAGAGGGGTACCCTTTTTAGTATCCCAGACGATGAGGCTCTTATCCTCGCTTCCGGAAACGGCCAAAGTGCCGTCACCGGAGAGACGCACGCAGGTCACATAGCCCAAATGACCTACGAGAGTATGCAAATCGGCACCAGTGTTGATATCCCAGACTATCAAATTGGCATCCCTGGAGCCAGATACTACTATAGACTTGTCGAGTACCGCGACTGCTACGCAAGTCACATGGTCGGTATGACCGACCAACACCTGGGAGAGTTTGCCACCGGCTAGTTGCCAAACTTTCAAGCTCATATCGCGTGAACCAGTGATCAGGTATTGAGAATCCGGCGTTGCTACCAGGCATGTGATATCTTGCGAGTGCGACACCTGATGTTTCTCTTCAGGACCGGCGCCCAGACTGATTATGCGCACCTGATTGTCACCAGATCCACATACCGCGTATCTGGAGTGATGGATTGGTTCAACTGAGAGGTATTAGTACAAATGGGTCTTGAAATATCGCGATCAAAGTTTAAAGATAGAAACGTAAGGAGTTGAGTAGAAGAACCGGACAAAGAATATTTAGCACAGAGAAGTTTATGTACAGTCACACAAATCTCATTCTCTTACCTCATATCAGACGCAACAGCGAAACATCGTCCAGGTCCGCAAACAGACTGAATCAATGTACCAGTATCTGCTGCCCAGACCCTGATAGAGCCAGCACGGTCTGAACTGACCACTCTTCTTCCATCTAGCATAGCAGTAACAGCAGTTACTGGTGCTTGATGCCTGAACGTAGCCACGACAAGTCCTAAAGTTAAACCCCAGACACGTACTGTCTTGTCCTCGGATCCTAAAGAGTTTACGCACATTTTATATCTCCACTTAATTTAAATACGTTAATAGCAAAAAGGCTATAATTGGCAAAAAAAATTTATAATATAAAAGCCTGTACCAGATGCGACAAAGAGTTCTGATGCGGAAAATGCAATACAAGTAATGCTAGCGATATGTCCCTCTAAAGTGGATAATAATTCGTGAGTGTTGAGCTGCCATAAATTGACTAAAGAATCGACACCACCAGTAACCGCCATAGCGCCATCCCTGGAAATATCCAAGCACGATATCGGTGCGGTATGAGGTTGCAAAGTATCCTGTTTTCCAGGTTTTTGCGGTTTTGGTGGTGGTTCTTCACCGCGAAAGCTCCAGTAAGTCACGCGACCTCCTCCACCGGTTATTAGAAAATCATCTTTTTCAGTTACCTGCAAAAAATAAAAGTGGTAATATAATAGTATGATTTAAACAGTCATGCAAGAAGAACGTATTCAATTAAAATAAAAACAAATGAGAGAAAAATAATGTACTATAATTTTATTTTTAATCACCTTAACCGAAGTAACTGTTGCTGATGGATTAGCAGGCAAAGTCCTAATCAACTTTCCACTGTGCATATCAAATACCGATACTCTGCCTTCGACACCACCAGCGATAGCTCTTCTACAATCTTTTGCCAAACAGAGACTTTTAACTGGACCTTGATGTCCCCTGAGTGTGTGGATTTCCGTACCAGTTGCCAACGACCTCAGATAAAGCTTTTGATCTTCGCAAGCGGCTAGAAGAAAAACTGAATCTGCAGACACGTCTAGCATGATCACTGGAGAAGGAAGAGTAATACTGTTGAGAAGACTAAAGCTTTCCAAAGACCAAAGACACACAGTTCCGTCGACTGAACCAGAAACCAAGACTTCTCCAGCGGAATCAACTCGAATAGTAGTGACAGGACCTCGATGATGATCAACCTTCATCAGAACTTCGCCAGTGAGTAAACTCGTAGCAATAATTCTGGAATCCTCGCCACCGCTTACGATAACAGAGTTGTTGAGTGCCGGAGTTAAAGTGAGGACCGGTGCGATATGCTCGCAGATCCGGCGTTTCATTACAAGATCCTTCATGTCCCAAACAATAATAGAAGTGTCTTCGGAACCGGTCAGCAGATATTGCGATTGATGGGTAACGGCTAAACATGAAATTGGACTGGAGTGCCCTGATACGAGTAAAAAAGATTTATTAATCATTGATGAAAACGTATTTGAAAAATTTGCGACAGAAAAAAAAGATATTACCAATAATTAGTATCAATTCGCGCTAAATTATACTTTTTTCATTTTACCTTTGAATGTATGAACAAGCTGACCGGACATTACATGCCATAATTGAGCATCTCCCTGCGGTGGCACAATGACTACATGTTGACCAGATGGTGCCGCTTCGATTAACTTAACTCCCTGAGGACACGTAATCGCCCGGATCTGCAATGGCAGAGGCGGTTGTAGCCATCCGTTCAAGGGCACGAGCAAAGGCGCAGTATAACCGTCGCACCAAGCCATCGCCGCCATGACCATTCTGCTGACCTTGATGAAGAGATTGAGTATAAGTCTTTTCTATTTAGTAATTAATAGTTCGTTTTATTAGAATAAAAAATAAAACTACTCACAAGGTCACCTCCGTCTTCGGCAACCGGCCTTAGCCAACAGATAAGCTGCGCAGCAAGTTGAAGTGGATCTCTCGTAAGAACATCGCTGGATTTTCTCACAGCATAATACACGAGTTCCAAATCGCGTTCAAGGAGATATCGTCTGGCATGTTCGAGGACACATCGTAAATAGCTCACGGAAATCATCTGAGCACTCGCAAGAAGAAAATCGAACGCGCAAACAGCGAGTTTTTTCAATTTGTCGACGTCAGAAGCGCGCAGAAGATGTAGCCATGCTTCTTCAACGTGTCGCAGTGTGTATGTGACAATCTGCGTTTGCGGCGCACTTTGAAACGGTGTTTCCTTGATAGGAGGTGAAGAAGATGGATTCTCCGGCGATTTGTCGGAATTATCATCGACGTCCTCGGAAAAGAAGAGACTGGCCAACTCCGCGTGATAACCGCGAGAAACGTCTTGATTGGAGAGATACTTTCTGAGAGCGGCTTCACGACATTGGCCACGCCAGGAAAACATTAATCGACCGCTCATCACTCGTACCTGAAATAATATTTAGTAAAATAACAATTTAATAATAAGTATATGGCGTGATATAAAACCTTAAACAACTCATGTTGAATTTAATATTCTTACTTTCAGCCACGATGCGAACGTCCTCCTGATCAAGCACCAGGTTGCAAAGTTAAATTGACTCTCCTCCAAGAGCAAAGGTCCTTCTCCTCCAGTAGGCATAATTAATTCCAGGATTTCTGTCTCTGATAAGCCATACTCGGTGCAAGCGAGAATCGAGGCAATTCGATTAGCTGCGTCGAGTCCGACGAGATCCTCCAAGCGTTGGAGAACCGCGTCGACGCCCGGCGTCGCACACACATGTCCGGATAGATCAACAAGAATATCGGGGCTACGTAGACGATCCTTTTGAAGTGGCGTGAGGCGCATTCCCTCGGGCGGAAGAGCGGAAGTGACAACAAAATGAACACCCGGAGGAAGAGTGAGCGGTAACCAGGACAAGGCAGCGACGATATCGCATTCGAGCGGATGAAAGCGATGAAGGTCGTCGAGGAGAATAATTAATTGGTCCGGAAGGGGATGTTCCTCTAAGCGGCGTATGATGAGACTGAACCAATTGTTGAGGTAGAGTGGGTCGAAGGAAGCGTCGCGGGGTAAATTACCGTCGTTATCTCCGCAAAGAAAGCCAACGTGCTGGCAGAGGATGCGGAGGAGCTCCAGACTGTAGGCGGATCGAGGTGTCGAGGTACATAATCGGACGACGCGAAGCGTCGACGTCGAAAGCCAGTCGGGCGAATCCTGATAGACGCGTGCAAGGATAGAGGACTTTCCAGAGGATTTGGGCCCGTAAATTAAAATCGGTCCGTGCTTATGCTCCTTGCCTGAAGATTAATCATGTTACGTATCAATCACACTTATACTGTAGCTAAATTGTATTGGCGTTCAGCAAAA